CGGGGAAGGCGGCAGGGGAGGCTGGCGAGGTGGTGCTGGGCCTGCGCCACACTTGTAGCTGGCTGCAGCGCATGGCCACAAATGAGACCTAAAAGCCCTGGCCCTCGTTAGAGCTGGGTGAACCGTCCCGGGTTTTGCCGGGGAGCGGGAATGAGGTATTTGTCGAAGTGCCGTCAACTGGCTCTTACACCACCAGACCTTGTCCTGCCCACGTGCCTATTTATTCAATGCATTGGCCTAATTTATTTTGCCAAACAGAACACTTTTTGGAGGGCCACACTATGGTACTCAACGACTTCTTCAACTCCAGCCCGATGGGGTGAGCATCGCCCTGCTGCCTGGAGGAGCTCAGGCCCCGGGACCCTGTCCCCTCACAGCTCTTGGTGCACCCCTCGGCAGGTGTCGGACCTTCAGCATGGACCAAAGCCGGCCCGTCTGCTGGCTCATCCCTGCAAGGTCACCATACGTCTCCAAGTCAGGGCCTAGAGGTCTCCTAGAGGGCTGCTTGTTTTGTTCTTTCCTAAAACTGATTTTACTTCTTTCCTTATCCATATTAGTCAGTGCTAACACCTCACTCAAAATCCAAGCCTGCTTCCCTTAAAAACCCCCTCAGCAGCGCCAGGGAGAGCGGTCGGTCACTGACCGGTGGCCGTGGAGCACAGCGGGGCCATGCAAGAAGTGACCCACCAAAGACCGCAGGCCGGCAGGGTGTATGGCAGCATAGAAATGCGACACGGTGGTATTAATGATCATTATTCTCATTTATTATAATTATTGTTCAGTTTGAAAAAGGAGCCTGGAGCCAAGCATTACGCTAATTGGCACATTACTTTTTGTTGTTTTAGTTCTGAAAACAAACTGGGGTTTCATATTACTTTTCGTTCATTTGTTTGTTGGGTTTGGTCTTTTTTTTTCTTTCGTTCATTCCATCACATTGAAAAAGGAAGAAAAGGAATTTTTTTTTTTTTCCTCTTTTGTTTTAACTCACTCGGTAAGTCTGGACTCCTCGGATGAACGTAACATTGCACACACACACACTTGGAGAAGAGAGAGAGGAGAGAGAGAGAGAGAGAGAGAGCGCGCTCGCGGTGGGCAGACAGACACACGCACGCGCCAGGTCAAAGAACTCTGATACAGTGCAAGAATTTTCCCAAAATGATTGGATCATCATTACCAAAAAACTCGCCATAACAACACCAAGAAACAAAGAAATGTTTAAGCCACACTGTTTGACTGTGATTTTTCCTGCTTTTTTTTTTTTCTTTAAATGTTTGCCACACAGAGAGAAAAAGGGTTTAAGTGGGAATGGGAGAGGGGGGATGGCACAGGTCACAGATGTGAGCAGGAAGCGGGGAGATCGAGATTGGGGTGGGAAGGAAGGATAGAGGATAGGGGGAGGGAGGGAGGGGCAACGGGGAGTCATTTCTTAATGTTCAGGCATTTTCTTGGTCCGCCTTGCTCTCTTCTTCTTTCACCTCTTCCTGCTGGGCACTTTCAGTAGGTTTGGTTTCTTCTACAGCATCTAGTGGGGAAAGAGATTGTCCAGGGTTAGTCAGCCATGATCTAGAGCACACTGCACGTGCACACAGCCATCACATAACGGACTGCGTGGCTTCAGGCTTCTCTCTCCCCAGAGTGACCCGGGTCTCAAAGTCCCTGGCATTTCTGCAGCACTGAAAGAGCGTGCCAGGGTTCAGCACAGCAGGCAAGTGTGCAGCTTTCACAAAAAACTCCTGCCCCACCAGAAAGCACCTGCAACTGGAAAGAGCTGCCTAGCTCGCTGCTGGTGTGGCAGGCAACCACCATTCATTTCATCAGGCGCACTGATTAGAGTCTTGGCTTACCAGCTAGATCACACACGCTTTCACTGAACCCACTGGCCGTGCCAACCACTGCTGAAGTGTTGCCCCTGAATTACCGCTATGGATCCTCCCAGCCAACACTTAAAGAGGTCACAAAGAGAAAACTCCACACACACTTGAAGCTTGCAAGACCCAGAGGGAAAAATTTTATAACTTGTAACTCAGACTGCTGTTATGCTGCACAGAGATCTACAGAAATGTCTCTAGCTTTCAAGAGCGGGAGCCTTCAACCAGGAGGTTGTCACGTCTCTCCAGTTTTCCGGGCTCTCCTTTCAAAGGCAGAGCTGCCCCATGGGGAAGCAACGGGTGTAACTGGAGGGTGGCTCGGTCTGCCTGTCAATCAGACACCTTGTTCTGGCACACCGTTCACCTGAGAAGTTAAAATGAATGCTAGGAGCAATCCCTCAGCAATGAACCAGACAGGGGATCAGAACTGAGGGGAAGGCAGAGGCAGCCAGGAGGGACAAGGCAAACGCAGAAGGGTCTTTGGGCACTGTAGTGGCTGGTCAGCTCCATCGCCATCTCTCCCCATTCCTCACTGACTCTCCCTCCCACACACATGTACACACAGACCATGGAGAGGCCAAGCAAGCAGCATCACTCCAGACCTGGGATAAAGGACAGGGAAAAGAAACAAGTGCTGATGGGCTGGGTGGTGTGGGACAGACCACAAGATTGGTATGCCATGTACCTCAGTGCTGGCACTCAACACACCTCCATAGCATCACTGTATCTCTGGTGGTCATTCAGAGAGGACTATGGGGTCCCGGGACAGTTCCTGGCTTCTCTGATGGGCTATCAGATCACATTATGCCAGCAAATAAAATGCTCTCTGGCCCCGAGGCCAGCTGGCACCACACAGCTCACGTCCATATGGCTAAACTCTCTCACTCTCCAGAACGGGGCAGCTGTGTCTGGGAGCTGTCTGGAGCAGAGTTAGTTGGCGTATTCAAAAATCACACCATGGCCCATGCTGTCAGCTTAACAATACAGACATTCACTTGCCAATGTTTAGTTTGTGAGGATTAGCATCATCACACCCATTCTTAGTAGTAGTGAGAATGTTAACTGGGATGTGAAACTTTCCTTACTGACACCATTTGTGCATTTTTGGCCTGGTCCATTCGATGCCATCAGATGGCAGACTTGTATTTGCTTCCAGCACTGGCAGTAGGTGCTGTTTGCTTCCGTCTCCCCCTCCGCTCTTTAGCTTAACTTTTAAATATGTCCCTAGGCACCACTTCCATATGGATCACCTTTAAGATGGATGTAACTTCTTATTCTGAATCATTTCTTCTGGACCTTCAAATACTTTTTGTCTTAGTAAACTCTGACTGTTGATTTTCCAAAAGCAAAAAGTCTGTAGGAACATCTCCATGGCCTAAGCCCCTGCATCTGCAAATCCCCTGTCAGCAAAAACATTGGTGGACTTTCTTTCCCTTGATACTGAACAGCTAAACAGAATGCTGCTCAAGGACTCCTTCTATAAATGGTACAGCTACAGCCACAAACCAAAGACAAAATAGGCTACTGATTAAAATAGGATATGAGTATTGTTGCAAGGCAAAGCAGGCCAATTTGCCCTAGTTTTGTTAATTTTCCTGAATGACTTGATCACAGTCCATTAGGGAGGGGAGTTCTTTTAATCCTGCTCTTTTCCAAGGCATTCACAGCAGAAGACACATTGAACTATGGAGCCAAGAGCAGAATCCCAATGCACGACCATCTACCCCTAAATTTGAGCCAAAAGACTGTCGCTAGCCAGCAGCAAAGCATGCTTTGCTATAAGGCTCTAATAGATCCTAGTAAGGCAAAATTTCTGTTTTTTCCACACCTACACAAGATGAATGAAAGATCAACAAAGGATGGGCAATGTGGCTTCAGGAACACAAGCCCTGACACTATATTTCATTATGTTTAAAAATTTCTGTGTCTTCCTACTGATAATATGCACAGATTTTACCCAGCAGTCCCCAGAGCCTCCTCAGAACAGCACCACAGAAGGACCGATAATGCAGCAAGCACAGGGATGGACACTGGATGGCTGCTGTGATACTGAGTGCCTTGCCCAAGACATACAAACTGCTAAGTCACACAGATGACCCCGTTACACCAGCAGCTGAAAGTGGGATCCAGCTCCTAAAGTGGTAGGCTCTTGGCAATTGTCCTAGCGAGATGGGCAGGAAATATGGTTGCACTCAAAGTAGGGGAGCTGGCAGCCTTGGTGACGTGGGGTGGCTCACAATGCTTCCTGTTCTTGCTCTTAGAACAAGTAGGCAGGTTGAAACACAATTTTCTGCCATGTTTTGTTCCCTGTTGGCTCACCACAGTGGCAAATCTAATTTCCAGGGAGTGTCCGTGGTGCCCAGAGATCTGTGACTGGCAAAGGAACTGCGTGGGGGGTGCCTCGATGCTCCCGTTGCTCTTCTCTGAGGAACAGTTAGCGGTGGGCAGACGACTCTGCTGACGCAGACCAGGGACTGCACTGATTTCTGCCGTGGCTGAAGTAGCCTGGACTGACTCTGAGGTCATGGAGCAGCAGAAAGGATTTAAAGTCACTTCACCATGTATTCCAGAGAGGAATCATAGAAACCAAATGCTGGACACATGGCGAACTAGAGCAAATTTTCACGACTGTGGATGTCCCAAGTGTGAAGAAGATGTCTAACTTTCTGAATGAGAATCATCACAGAAAATTCAGCCAGCCACTCTTCCTCTCTTGTCTTGCACAGTGTTGAAGCCATAAGAGGAAACACCAAATGCACTGCTGCATCCTGCTAAGCTATGTTGTTTCCTAGCAGCTTTAGCAGCATTTCACTGATCTTTGGGACGAGGGAAAAGAAGCAGCTTGGTGTTATTACATAGTAATGAACTTTAGCAAGAAGTAATATCACAAAGGATAAAAAATTCAGCACAGAAAAATAAAGTTCAAGCTGTGACACTGCTAAACTACAGCAGTGAAAAGAAGAGGATTCTCTCTGTGCAGTGGGACCAACGCAGCACAACCCTGCTGACATCAGGGCCAGTTAATAGCAGTTTCTGATTCACAAGGAGAGGTGAGACAGTTTATCTGACTCACCCTTCACCAGTTTGTTTGATGCAGGCTTTTTCTATGTTATGTTCTCTGGGGTTTTCTCCAGCCTACTTTTTAAGTGTCCCAGCAAAGGAGGGCAAGGTATCCCTGGGGAGATTAGAAGATAGCTATCCTGGGGATTCCATACATCATAGAGGGTATTTTTTACGTTGCTTTTTTCTAGTCTTGATTTCCCACTTGCTTGAACTCTGGGCTGTGGCACCTGTTGGTTTGTAGTGGACAGATACAGTTATACAGACAGAACTGCACAGCTGTGGCATTTTACATTCACTTTGCACTGTGTTGGAATAGGTGTAAAAGGTGATAAAAAAGCAGGTGAGAATTCAGGGCATTTAGGCAAAATGTTCTGCCCTCTGTTTGAGGAAAAGAAGCATTTAATCCTGGGTGGCCAAATTTCCACCTGTCTAAAGCTGCCTCCCTTCTGAACATGCCAGCACTATGAGTGCTCCTTCCACAAGGTTAGAGTCCCCTGTGTCCACTTGTGAGGGAGACAACAAGCAGGAGGCAGTGAGGTGTATCTTAAGATGGGCCTGGACTGGGGCAGCACTGAGATGTATATGAAGAGATCGGGAAACAGGAAAATTGAAGTGGGAGCAGATGGACATCTCGCCTAACTCCAGACATCTACACAGAGACAACTCCAGATGATCTTCTCACCCTCTGCTCTCTTTCTAATCTGTGGAAATAAACATGACATTTCTAGGACTTTATTAACCTGACCTATTTAGATGACGACTTTAGGAGAAGAGAAGTTGCAGCCTGAGAACACCTACATCTTTAGCCAGCCAAGGTGGAGATAGATACCCACATTTGTTCTAGAGCATTCCAGCCACAGAGCAAAAAGAAGAGCCTGAACTCACAAAATGAGAACATAACATGTGCACGCGTGGAGGAAACAGAACAGGATGGGAGACTGAGCTGCAATATGAAGCAAAACGAGCTTGAGGAGGGGCCAAAAATAAAGTCTGTCCTGAAGGATAAAGCAGGAACGGCTAGGTCAAAAGGCTAAAAAAACCCCAAAAAGAAAACAAGACAAGACCAACAACAAAACCCACCTCATTTGTGCTTGCAGTCATCACCTTCACAGTTGTTTTAACGCACATCAGGCATCACTTGCACTGTTCCTGGTTATTCCAGCCTTGTGGTGCCCCCCAGACACAGCTCTGAGATTTTAGTTTGTTTTGCAGATTTGCCTCTTGATTCAGTTTTTTGTAGTTCATGCTGCAGTCCAAATCATCCTATAGCATGGGATAATTCTGCCACGGAGACAGGCATCTGTGGGCTGAGCTGCCACCAATCTCACTTCCATCTAACACCCTGGATGGAGCAGCCAACTTAAGAAACCTTTTGGGCAGCCTCAGACAAACCTTAAGCTGCAACTGCACAACTGCTTAAGCAATAGGGCTGCGTGGTGGGAGATGCTGAAGTGCTTTTGCTTCCCAGCCGAGGGGCCTGTGTCACAGATGTGCTTTGTCCCCCCCCCCCCAGCCAGTACCTGCCAGGCAACTGCCTTGCCCATGGAAGAGAAACAATATGGAAGGGAACTACAAGTCCTTGCTGAAATAG